GAGTTGTCGTCGGGACGTTCCAGAGCCAAGGACAGCAAAAGGATTAGATGCCGTAATGGTATGGAGGGTAACAACAGAGGCGGTGCAGAAGATGGGTCCCAGATGTGGGGGGATGTTTGGAAACACGAGAATAAGAAACACGGGCGTAGTCTCCCTTGGAGGCGGAGATGAGTAACTGCATAGCATAAAGGGAGACCTTCTGCCTCTTTGACGGCAACGGATTTCACGTTCATTTAAGTTGACCTGGCAACCGGCGGAAGTACGAAGGGTGAGCTTCATTCCAATTAAGGCAAGATGGAGGTTGACTGCCAAGATGTATTAGATATGGTTGTCGCACCACAGACTGGGCATTAGGCCATAGATCTGCCAATATTTCGCTGGGTGACCAAAACGCCATCAATTTCTACATTGTTGCGGTTTAGGTATCACATTTCGAACTTGTAACGATGCTCCCGCGACATATACAGAGAACGGGAGTTCTCGGCTGTAAAGTTAAACGAGCAACCATTGCAAGGGTAACGTCTCCGACCCCCGGGCAGGAAGGACATATAAGTGTCTACCTTTTGAGATTGGGGAGATCTGGAGCTTACCAGCTGTTCAAAATTGTCATTGCCATGACTGGAAATTCTGTTGGGACTCAGGTATGGGCAGAATGACAGTTACCACTACAAGAATTGAAGAGCAAGATGTTTTTCAATAGTGATAGGAGTTAGTATCGATATTCGAAAGGAGTGAAAGGATCGTGAGTCTTGGGGTTTAGCATTCTGGACAGTGCGATGCGCGTACCGCTCTTGAGAGGCGTGAATTGATATATCTCTTTGGCCAACTTGACGAGGAGCGCTTTGGCACTTACTATGGTCAGAAAAGTAGCAGCAGAAGAAGTTGTTTAAAGTCACGAATTTAGTCATTGTGTGTGTCCGAAATGAGCGTGGGAGAGGGGAGTGCTTGACGTAGTCGGTAGTTGCGAGTGAATGGGAAGGTAACGACGGGCATATCAGGAGAGTGACGTTGGACGTTCTAGGAGTTGGACGGTGTTGGTCGGCATGGAAATGGCTGTGGGCGATTCGAATATTGTTCCGTACCGTAGAGGGAGAAGCCAGAAGCCTAGTCAAAGGACTGTGCGGAGTTCAGGACAACGAAGGAGTCTAGTCGAAGCCCCAGTACCTGAACGCGGAGTGAGGAAAGCAGCACAGCACGAGGAAGGGGCATCAGGAGTGTACCGAAAGAGTGGTCTAAACACAAGGGCAGGCGTCAGATTGGGGTTCGGTATCAGAAGGGGCCGGCGCGTAGTGGTTTCATGGCACTGGGCCCGTTGCACATGGTTAGGTTATCCTTTGCTTTTTGTTTTTTAAGAAATAAAAGAAAGAAGAAAAGAAAATAAGGAAAATAAAAACAAAAAAAAGAATAAAAAAAAGGGGAGGGGGGGGGGGAGGATAGTTCCCAGAGAGGAATGAAAGGGCCGGAAAGCTCCCTCCGCGCCCAAGAGGACTCGAAGCTAGTAGCGCGATTGCAGCATGGAAACGTGCCATACCCTACCTTCATGCCAAGGTAAACCAGCAAATCCGGGATAGAACCTCACATCTGCCGAGCTACCTTCGGGTTGGACAAAGAATGAGGGCGGCGGATATCGCCACAAAGCAACTCCTTCAGCCACCACCCCGGAATCCGAAAGGTGCTTCAGGAGCTCACCGTAGCCCAAAAGACACCCAAAAGCTACTCCGGGATACCGGATGAGGGATCGGGACATCCCTAGGCAATCCTGATTCCAACGGCAAACTACGCCACCGACAAGAAACCTCAACGGAATGGGATCGACCCCGGTGTCCTTTCCCCTACTAGGACTAGCACGCCTGTGGGAGAAATCACGAAGGGCGAAAAGAGGAAGGGCAAAAGGGCGAGGGGGTGCGGAGGAGGAGGAGGATGGAAAAAGGGAGGATGGGGAGGATGGATAGGGGAGGGTGAGGAATGGGGGGTAATTAGGTTCGGTCTGAGGAAGAAGACCGACAGGCTAATTCCTCAGACCAAGAGCCTTTCACCACGCCAAGGGAGCCCCCTTCGAAAGACGGATGGACAAAGTTAGAATGACCCTGGAACCGCATATAAATCTATAGGGGAAGGATGGCGGGCGGATAGGGGTCGTCATCGGAAAAGGGTCTGACGAGGGGGTAAAGGAGGTTTTGTGAGCAAGGGGCTTGGGATTCCAGCAAGGTGCAATGGGTGTTAAGTTTAGAAGGTGTGAATGGTTACTTGGGACCTACGTCTGTTTGGAGTGTGAGCTGGAGTAATATTTAGTGAAGGGATTCCAGGGATAACGGGTTATTTAATATAGTGGACTTGAGTCCTGGAAACAATGGGAAGTACAATGCCTGCACTTTAAGGAGGGGCTTTTGGGATATTGGCAAGTTGGCGGGATATGTTGTGTATGCTTCTAACCTGTTTTATTCCTTAGCACTTCTGCAAAAAAAACAATGATAATGGGTGAGTGCTTTTTGACTGATGAAAGTTTTTTTCTTATTTGGGTCAACCCTGCCTCCGTGGGAGACGGCGCCGACTTGTCTGAAAAAAAAAAAAAAAAAAAAAAAAAAAAAAAAACAATTAAGAGAAGGTATTATACAAGATCTTGTGTGACAAGCTCAATTCATGTATTCTACATACCCACGTCCGATGAGACACTAATATATATGTTAGAACCCAAAAATTTGAATATGCATATGTTAAATACACAGCAAATTCATCTTGTGGATTATACTAATAAGGACAAGCTGAGATCTTCTTTGATTCCATTATGAATTGCAATAAAGGAAACCTTTAATATCTTTTAATCTACTTCCAAGGCTAATATTAAAGTGGCCCATCATCCACACCACCTACTAGTACCAATATATCTATCCTCTTGGCTCCACACCACCAATTTCCATATAACAGTCATTCTATTAGGGTATTAAACTTTTCTTCTTGAAGTTATTCTCTTTTGTACCACCATTATGTCTATTTCTACATTTATTCTCTTCATGACGTTCACACCACCCCTGCAACATTCAACTAACCTCTGTTCTCTGGTGTATACCACGAATATAATATAATTTTTTTTTTTCTAATATATTAAGTCTAGCCAAACTACTTATAAGTGAAGAAGACTCAAATTTAAAGAGAAATTCCTCAAATCAACTCTTATATTTTTAACACAAATGTGCCAATAAAAGAAATAAAACAAGTATTCACTTAAGACTTCCACAAACTACATGTTATCAATACTCCAACCATTGCACCTGACCTCTCAATCCTACATATAGTAAATTTCTTTTCGAAGTATATTACGTAGTAGTAACTGCTTCTAAGTATAAATTTTAAAGCCAATTTTTTATACGTTGTTAGCAACAGACGTCATAGACTTTAATGTTTTTGGGACTGAATGTCTGGGTAAAGGCTAAGGCTGGCTGCTCTTGATAAATGACCAGCATTCTGTAATGGTTTCTAACTGCAGACATCAAACATTGGCTTGTCCCCAGTCTCCATCTGGTAAAAAAAAAAAAATTATATTGTAAATGTATATATAATTAAATACATCTATTGTACATACAGTAAAACCATGATATAACTGAACAATATGGAAAGGGGGAGGAAGTAGTGTCAATTAATGCTGACTTCACTAAATCCAAATACTGCAATGAGAATTCAAAATGAAGCTAACAGTAATTTTGTTTACCACGTTTGGTGGAAAAATCAGATTCTTTTGTTACAATACTAGACAGTTTTTGGAAATAGCCGACTACAGCTCATTTACATGGCAGACTTGGGTAATTTTGAAATCTTTTAAATTTTAGTTTTACTGTGTATTTTTTCTTATTTAAACACTTAAATAACAACAAATACAATATTAATTTTTAGGTCGAGAACATAAACAATGCCAGAGTGCACATTTGCCGACTTTTGTTCCCTTGTGGGTTTAGCACTCATGATTATAATAATGCCTGGCTTTACATGAATTTGCTATTATGCAGTACTGCATTTCTATTTGTCATCCTGTATGTGAAATATACCTTCACTATCTATAATCAGTGGGTTTCACAAAGCATGAGGAATTAAATAGAGCTTAGTATAGTTGCTATGGTCCTGGAACAATTCTACTACATCAAGCGAGCTACTCTCATACTTTGGGTGCCAGGATATCTTTTCCATGATCTCATAAGTTTTAAGTGGTGGTGTCAGCCACTGTATACTTGTTTAAAATCTACGGTTGCTTAGGCCAGGGAATACGCATGTCTATTTCTTCTGTGATGTCGGTTTATATCCTGGACTTGGAAAGATAAATCAGTCCCCTGTATCAGAAATCTTTCCTATGAAGATGTATTAAAATTGCTGCACACACTGGATTATTATAGTCCTTGAGAAGCTATAAACCCAAAAGGGTTATATGGTGTACACTAGAAAGATTTACAGTTATGAAGTAGAGGAAACAGGAATACATATAACTAAGGTTAACATTCATATTAGCATTTTTTGCAAATACAGTGGACCCCCGCTTAACGATCACCTCCCAATGCGACCAATTATGTACGTGTATGTTTGGGGGGTCTGAAATGGACTGATCTACTTCACAATATTCCTTATGGGAACAAATTCGGTAAGTACAGGCACCTGAACATACTTCTGGAATGAAAAAATATCGTTAACTGGGGGTCCATTGTATTTCAATACCAACTTGAGTGCCAGGTAACAATGTCCCTACATCTCTCAAAACAAAAAAATGAGATTTCACACTCTTGTGACTAACAATGAGTATGAGATTATGCAGGACTGAACTACCATTCCACTGGTTGCAATGTTTTTTTTTTCTTCTATTCCTAATTTTTTACTGTCCTTCATGTACTATCAATGGAGCACCATACTACTGTTGGTTAGCTAGCAATGTATTATACAGTACTGTACCACCAAGTTGGCTGCATTTGCATTAAGGAAGAATCCATAGAAAAGAGACAACAGTAATGTGTATAACTTACTAAGTGAGCAACAAGTGGTCCATATAGTGGCGTGGGTAGACACATGGGCACCAACTCGTGTGAGATCACTGAGCAAATTAAATCTCCATCGTAGTCAGATTTCTTCACCTGAAATATATCATTCTGGCTGTCAGAGGTAAGGTAAACTGATGTGGTGATGCATATACAACAAGAGTTTTATCTCTCAGTGTATGTACAGTTTATTTTAGTAAATAATGTATCCTTGTTTGTTTGTGAAAAGGTAGTGTGTGGCCTTAATGACCCCTCATGAAGTTAATAAGCTACAAATAAATGCTTTTTATAACACATTGGCTATCTCTCACAAAGGTAGAGTGACCCAAGACAAGGAAATGCATTCATCCAATAACTGCCTTGTCAGAAGTCCATGGACATTACAGTTTAAATGACATTTGTAACTAACATCCCTACCCCTTCTTCAGGATGCAAGCACTGTACTGTGGCTTGCTGATTGCTGTCTTTCAACACACTAGCCGTATCCCACTGAAGCATGGTGGCCCAAAAATAAAAATGAAATTGTCTCTTTATAAATTTAGTAATGTATACAGAAAGGGTTACTAGCTCCTGGCATTTTAGTTGCCTCTTACAACACGTATGGCTTACGGAGGAAGAATTCTGTTCCACTTCCCCATGGAGATAAGAGGAAATGAACAAGAACCAGTAGGAAAACCCAGAGGGGTGTGTGTATATCTATGCGTGTGTAGTGTGAGAGATATGTGTATATATATATACATTGTAGCTTGGTAGACAGCAACCACCCAGGGAGGTACTACCGTCCTGCCAAGTGAGTGTAAAATGAAAGACTGTAATTGTTTTACATGATGGTTGGATTGCTGGTGTCTTTTGTCTGTCTCATAAATATGCAAGATTACAGGTACGTCTTGCTACTTCTGCTTACACTTAGGTCACACTACACATACATGTACAAGCATATGTATACACACCCCTCTGGGTTTTTTTCTAATTCTTGTTCTTGTTTATTTCCTCTTATCTCCATGGGGAAGTGGAACAGAATTCTTCCTCTGTAAGCCATGTGTGTCCTAAAATGCCAGGAACAAGGGGCTAGTAACCCCTTCTGTATATATTACTAAATTTAAAAGGAGAAACTTTAGGTTTTTCTTTTGGGCCACCCCACCTCAGTGGGATACGGCTGGTGCGTTAAAAGAAGTGTAGTGTGACCTAAGTGTAAGTTGAAGTAGCAAGACGTACCTGACATCTTCCATGTTTATGAGACAGAAAAAAGACACCATCATGTAAAATAATTACAGGCTTCCATTTTACACTCACTTGGCAGGATGGTAGTACATCCCTGAGCGGTTGCTGTCTACCAACCTACTACTTATAAATCCATATGAATAGTTATTTTACATATAATTTGAGTCTTGCGTAAGATTTTTTTTTTAAAAAAAACACAGGGGCCATATCCCACGAGGGGGGGGCCCAAAAGGAAAAACAAAAGTTTCCCCTTTTTACACTCAAAATTTTATAAGGAGAAGGGGGGTTACTAGCCCCCTGCTCATTGGTTTTTTATTCGCCTCATAAAAACAACATGGCTTCGGAGGAAAATTCTGTTCCACTTCCCCATGGGGGGAAATAAACAAAAACAGGAAAAAATATAAGAAAAACCCAGAGGATGTTATATCTATATGCTTGTATGTGTAGTGTGACCCAAGTAGAAGTAGCAAGACATACCTAAACCTTTTCATGTTTATGAGCAGAAAAATGGACACCACAATCCGCCACATGAAAACAAAACAGGGTTTCGTTTTTTTCACCACTTGGGAGGACGGTAGTACCTCCCGGCGGGGTTCCGCACCAAACCCACTCTTATAAATCTATATAATAGTTATTTTTACATATACATGACCCCCGGGTTAAAGATATTTTTTTTACTCCAAAGTATGTTCAGGTCCAGCTGCCGAATTTGTTCCCAAAAAAGGAAAATTGTGAATAGATTTGTCCATTCAGACCCCCCAAAATACACGTAAAACGCACTTACATAAAATTGGTCCATTCGGGGTGATCGTTAGCGGGGGGTCCACTGTAATTTGTGTCTTGCATAAGATTATATTCATATAACTTGCACTACACTTAGGCCACACTACACATACATGTACACGTTTATTTATACATACTAATCTGAGTTTTCTTTGATTTTATCTTAATAGTTCTTGGTCTTATTACTTTTCCTTTTATATCCATGGGGAAGTGGAATAAGAATCTTTCCTCCGTAAGCCATGCATGTTGTAAAAGTCAACTAAAATGCCGGGAACAATGGGCTAGTAATCCCTTTTCCTGTAAAGATTACTAAAAAGAATAAGAAGAAAATTGTCAAAGTGGGAAGTCTGAATGTGAGTGGATATTGTGCGAAACAGATGATTGTGGATGTTATGAATGAGAAGAAGCTGGATGTCCTGGCTTTATGTGAAACAAAGCTAAAGGGGGTGGGAGAGTTTCAATGGAGAGGAATAAATGGGATTAGGTCAGGGGTTTCAAATAGAGTTAGAGCTAAAGAAGGAGTAGCAATAATGTTGAAGGATAAGCTATGGCAGGAAAAGAGGGACTATAAATGTATTAATTAAAGGATTATGTGGAGTAAAATAAAGATTGGATGTGAAAAGTGGGTTATAGTAAGCGTGTATGCACCTGGAGAAGAGAGAAGTGTAGAGGAGAGAGAGAGATTTTGGGAAATGTTGACTAAATGCATGGGGAGTTTTGAATCAAGTGTGAGAGTAATGGTGGTTGGAGATTTCAATGCTAAAGTGGGTAAAAATATTATGGAGGGAGTAGTAGGTAAATTTGGGGTGCCAGGGGTAAATGTAAATGGGGAGCCTTTAATTGAGCTATATGTAGAAAGAGATTTGGTAATAAGTAATACATATTTTATGAAAAAGAGGATAAATAAATATACAAGGTATGATGCAGCACGTAATGAAAGTAGTTTGTTAGATTATGTATTGGTGGATAAGAGGTTGATGGGTAGGCTCCAGGATGTACATGTTTATAGAGGGGCAACTGATATATCGGATCATTATTTAGTTGTAGCTACAGTTAGAGTAAGAGGGAGGTGAAAGTGTATAAACTAAGGGAGGAGGAAGTTCGGGTGAGATATAAGCGACTATTGGCAGAAAGGTGGGCTAGTGCAAAGATGAGTAGTGGGGGGGGGGGTTGAAGAGGGTTGGAATAGTTTTAAAAATGCAGTATTAGAATGTGGGGCAGAAGTTTGTGGTTATAGGAGGGTGGGGGCAGGAGGAAAGAGGAGTGATTGGTGGAATGATGAAGAAAAGGGTGTGATAAAAGAGAAAAAGTTAGCTTATGAGAGGTTTTTTACAAAGCAGAAGTGTTATAAGAAGAGCAGAGTATATGGAGAGTAAAAGAAAGGTGAAGAGAGTGGTGAGAGAGTGCAAAAGGAGAGCAGATGATAGAGTGGGAGAGGCACTGTCAAGAAATTTTAATGAAATAAGAAAAATTTTTGGAGTGAGTTAAACAAGTTAAGAAAGCCTAGGGAAAGTATGGAGTTGTCAGTTAAAAACAGAGTAGGGGAGTTAGTAGATGGGAGAGGGAGGTATTAGGTAGATGGCGAGAATATTTTGAGGAACTTTCAAATGTTGAGGAAGAAAGGGAGGCGGTAAATTTCATGCACTGGCCAGGGAGGTATAACCATCTTTTAGGAGTGAAGAAGAGCAGAATGTAAATGTGGGGAGGTACGTGAGGCATTACGTAGAATGAAAGGGGGTAAAGCAGCTGGAACTGATGGGATCATGGAGAAATGTTAAAAGCAGGGGGGATATAGTGTTGGAGTGGTTGGTACTTTTGTTTAATAAATGTATGAAAGAGGGAAGGTACCCAGGGATTGGCGGAGAGCATGTATATCCTTTATATAAAGAGAAAGGGGACAAAAGAGATTGTACAAATTATAGAGGAATAAGTTTACTGAGTATACCAGAAAAGTGTACGGTAGGGTTATAATTGAAAGAATTAGAGGTAAGGCAGAATGTAGGATTGCGGATGAGCAAGGAGGTTTCAGAGTGGGTAGGGGATGTGTAGATCAAGTGTTTACATTGAAGCATATATGTGAACAGTATTTAGATAAAGGTAGGGAAGTTTTTATTGCATTTATGGATTTAGAAAAGACATATGATAGAGTGGATAGAGGAGCAATGTGGCAGATGTTCCAAGTATATGGAATAGGTGGTAAGTTACTAAATGCTGTAAAGAGTTTTTATGAGGATAGCGAGGCGCAGGTTAGGGTGTGTAGAAGAGAGGGAGACTACTTCCCCGTAAAAGTAGGTCTTAGACAGTGATGTGTAATGTCACCATGGTTGTTTAACATATTTATAGATGGGGTTGTAAAAGAAGTAAATGCTAGGGTGTTCGGGAGAGGGGTGGGATTAAATTATGGGGAATCAAATTCAAAATGGGAATTGACACAGTTACTTTTTGCTGATGATACTGTGCTTATGGGAGATTCTAAAGAAAAATTGCAAAGGTTAGTGGATCAGCTTGGGAATGTGTAGAAAGTTGAAAGTGAACATAGAAAAGAGTAAGGTGATGAGGGTATCAATAAAGAAAAATTGGGGAGGAGGAGTATGGAAGAAGTGAATGTTTTCAGATACTTGGGAGTTGACATGTCGGCAGATGGATTTATGGAGGATGAGGTTAATCATAGAATTGATGAGGGAAAAAAGTTGAGTGGTGCGTTGAGGTATATGTGGAGTCAAAAAACGTTATCTATGGAGGCAAAGAAGGGAATGTATGAAAGTATAGTAGTACCAACACTCTTATATGGATGTGAAGCTTGGGTGGTAAATGCAGCAGCGAGGAGACGGTTGGAGGCAGTGGAGATGTCCTGTTAAGGGCAATGTGTGGTGTAAATATTATGCAGAAAATTCGGAGTGTGGAAATTAGGAGAAGGTGTGGAGTTAATAGAAGTATTAGTCAGAGGGCAGAAGAGGGGTTGTTGAGGTGGTTTGGTCATTTAGAGGGAATGGATCAAAGTAGAAAAGACATGGAAAGCATATAAATCTATAGGGGAAGGAAGGCGGGGTAGGGGTCGTCCTCAAAAGGGTTGGAGAGAGGGGGTAAAGGAGGTTTTGTGGGCGAGGGGCTTGGACTTCCAGCAAGCGTGCGTGAGCGTGTTAGATAGGAGTGAATGGATTATGTATTATTATAATCAAGGGGGAAGCGCTAAACTCGGAGGATTATACAGCGCCTGGGGGGGGGGATGTGGAAGGCATTCAGGCTTAATTCGGGGAACTGGAGCACAGTTCCAATTCCCTAAATCAAGAGCCCCTCACCAACATCAAGGAACCTTCCTTGAGGGAAGGAGTGAATGGAGACGAATGATACTTGGGACCTGACGATCTGTTGGAGTGTGAGCAGGGTAATATTTACTGAAGGGATTCAGGGAAACTGGTTATTTTCATATAGTCGGACTTGAGTCCTGGAAATGGGAAGTACAATGCCTGCACTTTGAAGGAGGGGTTTGGGATATTGGCAGTTTGGAGGGATATGTTGTGTATCTTTATACGTATATGCTTCTAAACTGTTGTATTCTGAGCACCTCTGCAAAAACAGTGATAATGTGTGAGTGTGGTGAAAGTGTTGAATGATGATGAAAGTATTTTCTTTTTGGGGATTTTCTTTCTTTTTTGGGTCACCCTGCCTCGGTGGGAGACGGCCGACTTGTTGAAAAAAAAAAAACTTGCACTGGAGCAAAATTTTGAATGTGCAAAATTTTGAATGTGCAAATAAGGAAGATTATCAAAAATATAACTGATAAAAATGGATGGATGTATATATATTAGTGGATACCTTACTAAAAACAATGTATAGTAATCAAAAAGTACATTATGGAATTGCAGTACGTACTTTGGTTTGAAAGGAATTATTAAAGGCTTTTCTGGGTAAAAGTAAAGGAGCGAGGTAAAACAAAGAGGTACAGAATAATTGAATTCATACCTTAGTGTACAGACTGGAAGAAATATAATTAATATCCTGTCAGATTTAAAAAGTATTCCACCTCATGTGGTTAGGGTTAAGGCTGGTAGATAGGAAGTTGGAAATAATCTCAGAATTTGGTTAGAAAAACAATCATTTTACCTCTTTGATGGATTCCATGTTGTCTATCACAGCACCATAGACTGTGGCATCATCTGAAAGCAGGGCAACTTTAGAGCTGCATTTGATAGCCACTCGTCCCAGATTTTGAAGTTTCTTAACCAACACACACAGACATCCATTGGGCAACTGAAATAGATATATATAAAAGCAAAGGAGGATGCTACTTATTTTTTTTATTTATTTATTATCACACTGGCCGATTCCCACCAAGGCAGGGTGGCCCGAAAAAGAAAAACTTTCACCATCATTCACTCCATCACTGTCTTGCCAGAAGGGTGCTTTACACTACAGTTTTTAAACTGCAACATTAACACCCCTCCTTCAGAGTGCAGGCACTGTACTTCCCATCTCCAGGACTCAAGTCCGGCCTGCCGGTTTCTCTGAACCCCTTCATAAATGTTACTTTGCTCACACTCCAACAGCACGTCAAGTATTAAAAACCATTCGTCTCCATTCACTCCTATCAAACACGCTCACGCATGCCTGCTGGAAGTCCAAGCCCCTCGCACACAAAACCTCCTTTACCCCCTCCCTCCAACCTTTCCTAGGCCGACCCCTACCCCACCTTCCTTCCACTACAGACTGACTCACTCTGTTTTGCTCCATTCTCTCTACAGGTCTGAACCACCTCAACAACCCTTCCTCAGCCCTCTGGACAACAGTTTTGGTAATCCCGCACCTCCCCCCCAACTTCCAAACTAAACCGTTTCTCTGCATTATACCCAAAACCACACATTGCCCTCAGACATGACATCCCCACTGCCTCCAGCCTTCTCCTCGCTGCAACATTCATCACCCATGCTTCACACCCATATAAGAGCGTTGGTAAAACTATACTCTCATACATTCCCCTCTTTGCATCCAAGACAAAGTTCTTTGTCTCCACATACTCCTAAGTGCACACTCACCCTTTCCCCCCCATCAATTCTAGATTCACCTCTTTTTTCATAGACCCATCTGCTGACACATCCACTCCCAAATATCTGAATACATTCACCTCCTCCATACTCTCTCCCTCCAATCTTTCATCACCTAATCTTTTTGTTATCCTCATAACCTTACTCTTTCCTGTATTCACTTTTAATTTTCCTTTTTGCACACCCTACCAAATTCATCCCCCAAATTTCTCAGAAACTTCTCTTCAGAATCTCCCAAGAGCACACTGTCATCAGCAAAGAGCAACTGTGACAACTCACACTTTATTGTGATTCTTTATCTTTAACTCCACCGCCTCTTGCCAAGACCCTCGCATTTATTTCCCTCTTACAACCCCATCTATAAATATATTAAACAACCACGGTGACATCACACATCCTTGTCTAAGGCCCTACTTTTACTAAAAATTTAATTTCCCTCTTTCCTACATACTCTAACTTGAGCCTCACTATCCCTCATAAAAACTCTTCACTGCTTTCAGTAACCTACCTCCTACACCAATCACCTCCACTTGCCCCCTATCCCCCCTTTCCCATACGCCTTTTCCAAATCCATAAATGCCACAAAGACCTCTTTAGCCTTATCTAAATAGTGTTCACTTATATGTTTCACTGTAAACACCTGGTCCACACACCCCCTACCTTTCCTAAAGCCTCCTTGTTCATCTGCTATCCTATTCTCCGTCTTACTCTTAATTCTTTCAATAATAACTCTACCATACACTTTACCAGGTATACTCAACAGACTTATCCCCCTATAATTTTTGCACTCTCTTTTGTCCCCTTTGCCTTTATACAAAGGTTATGAAATAACCTTTGTATAAAGGTTATGAAATAAGTCTCTAAAAAGTGGGAGACAGTGCACTGATGCTGATGAAGTGATCTTGATCCAGGGAATTGGAGTCACCCTACACTTTCTTGGATCAAATATGATTACCTGATATGCTATATGACCCTTACAGGTTTAGAGCTTCCCCATGATCATAATATGAAAATGTTTCTAATAATGGCTTAACCAAATCATAATGCAACATCAGAAAAAAAAAGTACCACAGAACTTGAGAAAAAATCAATTATTATTTTGTAAATGAGGATCAATGGAATTAGTTTTTAAATATTAGATGTATACAACACAGTACAATAATTTAAGGCTTCAAGAAGCAGAAAACAAGTATAAAAATTGGTTGTATATTGCCAGATGAAGTGATAACCTTATCTCTTGTAAACTATTAAAACTGCAACTATAATAAGACCAATAATGAATCTATGATAAATCAGTCTTAAATAATGAAATAAAAAAAAATGTAATGGCAAAAGCATAAAAAAAAAGTGGAGCTGCTAGGGTGTGTTGTTCAACAGAAGTCAAAGTAGTTTATGCAGAGTTGTTCTCCAACATCCAATGTCTTATCCCAATACACAGGGTTTTGATATATTAATTTTGACTTTACTGTACCTCTATATAATGCATCCATTTATTTTTGTTGAAATGTTCATGCTCATAGACACTCACCTGGTTTAGACCAAATGCATCTTGAGATGCTTCCCATATAATATCTAAACTAGATGATGGATTTTTTTCAGTTATATCTAATATCTTGTTAAGCACTGCTAGCCATGGATTGGTCAATATATCCATATATACCTGAAATAAAAAAAAGATACCAAATTTAATTACCTAAAACAGTATCTATAGACCATGCAGAATATTCCAATATCTCAGTTAATCTACCCTATACTTCTGGCACAAACTGCCTCTGAATGCCATCCCAATATCTATTACCTTTAAAAAAAAAATGATCACTTTTTTTTAATTCAACAGCCATCTCTTGCCAAGGTAGGATGACCCAAAGAAAAAAAACACATTTAACATAATTCATTCTACTGCCATCTTTCCAGAAGTGTACTGACATCATACTCAGATTACTTTCTGCCTGGAACTTTACCCCCCACTCCTTCAGTGGAGGCGCTGCCCTTCCCACCTCCAGGACTCGAATCTGGCTAAATCATTTCTTTGAATCCCTTCATAAAAGTTACCTTGCTCTAGCTTTATAAAACTACGTCAAGTACGTCAGTATTAGTATGATTTCAACTACAATTGTGTAATATTTTATAATACTGTAAGACAATCAGCCATTTATTTTGTACCTCTTCATTAAATGGTGGCCAAAGTTTGAGCAGCTCTACCAGAGCCTCTGCTTGTTGTATGGTGCTGGTGTGAGCTAAGAGTAAGGACAGAAGAGTTGCTCTTGTCTCACTGGAGACCAGTTGATCTTGCTCTACTGTTAGACTCTGCTCTTTAGGCCATGCACCAGCCACCACTCCACCAGTGCGCATAACTCGCAAAAGCTGCATATCTTCATTGTTCAGTGATAAATGCTGTGGAGAGGAAAATAGTCTGAAATAAGCTAGTAATAATACAAGATATTTCTGAAGTGATACTAAAATCCTGAGAACTATAGTTATCTATTTATGATTTGTTATCTCCAACTAAACAATATACACCAATGAATGTTTACTAAGGCCACAAGATACAATATACAGGTCTCCCTCAACATTCGCAAGGGTTGGGGATCAATAGCCTTGCGAATGTTGAAAAATCGGGAATGTTTGGTGCCTCAATATATTGTAGGGAAATATAATACAATGCTGCTTACTTAACTTGTTGAACCATGAACAATCATAAAATACACGAAAATGTCATAAAATAGGTAGTAGGTTGGTAGACAGCAACCACCCAGGGAGGTACTACCGTCATGCCAAATGAGTGTAAAGCGAAAGCCTGTAATTGTTTTACATGATGGTAGGATTGCTGGTGTCTTTTGTCTGTCTCATAAATATGCAAGATTACAGGTAAGTCTTGCTACTTCTGCTTACACTTAGGTCACACTACACATACATGTACATGTTTATTTATACACACTCATCTGAGTTTTCTTTGATTTTATCTTAATAGTTCTTGGTCTTATTACTTTTCCTTTTATATCCATGGGGAAGTGGAATAAGAATCTTTCCTCCGTAAGCCATGCGTGTTGTAAAAGTCAACTAAAATGCCGGGAACAATGGGCTAGTAACCCCTTTTCCTGTAAAGATTACAAAAAGAATAAAAGAAGAAAATTGTCAAAATGGGAAGTCTGAATGTGCGTGGATGTTGTGCAGAAAGATAAAAAGAGATGATTGTGGGTGTTATGAATGAGAAGAGCTGGATTCCTGGCTTTAAGTGAAACAAAGCTGAAGAGGGTGGGAGAGTTTCAGTGGGGAGGAATAAATGGGACTAGGTCAGGGGGTTTCAAATAAGTTAGAGCTAAAGAAGGAGTAGCAATAATGTTGAAGGATAAACATGGCAGGAAAAAAGGGACTACAAATGCATAAATTCAAGGATTATGTGAGTAAAATAAAGATTGGATGTGAAAAGTGGGTTATAGTAAGCGTGTATGCACCTGGAGAAGAGAGAAGTGTAGAGGAAGAGAGAGAGATCTGGGGAAATTTGAGTGAATGTGTGGGGAGTTTTGAATCAAGTGTGAGAGTAATGGTGGTTGGGGATTTCAATGCTAAAGTGGGTAAAAATGTATGGAGGGAGTAGTAGGTAAATTCGGGTGCCAGGGGTAAATGTAAATGGGGAGCTTTTAATTGAGCTATGGTAAAAGAAATTTGGTAATAAGTAATACATATTTTATGAAAAGAGGATAAAAAAATATACAAGGTATGATGTAGCACGTAATAAAGTAGTTTGTTTGATTATGTATTGGTGGATAAACGGTTTTATGGGGAGGCTCCAGGATGTACATGTTTATAGAGGGGCAACGATATATCAATCATTATTTAGTTGTAAACTACAGTTAGAGTAAGAGGGAGATGGAAAAGAGGAAGGTGGCAAAAACAAGTAAGAGGGAGGTGAAAGGGTTTAAACTAAGGGAGGAGGAAGTTCGGGCGAGATATAAGCGACTAAATTTGGCAAAAGGTGGGCTAGTGCAAAGATGTAGTGGGGGGTTGAAGAGGGTTGGAATAGTTTAAAAATGCAGTATTAGAAAAGTGGGCAGAAGTTTGTGGTTATAGGAGGGTGGGGGCAGAGAAAGAGGAGTGATTGGTGGAATGATGAAGTAAAGGGGGTGATAAAAGAGAAAAAGGTAGCTAATGAGACGTTTTTACAAAGCAGAAGTGTTATAAGAAGAGCAGAGTATATGGAGAGTAAAACAAAGGTGAAGAGAGTGGTGAGAAAAGTGCAAAAGGAGAGCAGAGAAAGAGTGGGAGAGCACTTTTCAAGAAATTTTAATGAAAATAAGAAAAAATTTTGGAGTGAGTTAAACAAGTTAAGAAAGCCTAGGGAAAGTATGGATTTTATGTGCGGGTTATTTGTGTATGGATTTGTCCATTAAAAACAGAGTAGGGGAGTTAGTAGATGGGGAGAGGGAGGTATTAGGTAGATGGCGAGAATATTTTGAGGAACTTTTAAATGTTGAGGAAGAAAGGGAAGCGGTAATTTCATGCACTGGCCAGGGAGGTATACCATCTTTTAGGAGTGAAGAAGAGCAGAATGTAAGTGTGGTGGAGGTACGTGAGGCATTACGTAGAATGAAAGGGGGTAAAGCAGCTGGAACTGATGGATCATGACAGAAATGTTAAAAGCAGGGGGGATATAGTGTTGGAGTGGTTGGTACTTTTGTTTAATAAATGTATGAAAAGGGGAAGTAACCTAGGGATTTGGGAGAGAGCATGTATAGTCCCCCTTTATATAAAGGGAAAGGGGGCAAAAGAGATTGTAAAAATTATAAGAGGAATTAAATTTACTGAGTAAACCAGGAAAAGTATACGGTAGGTTAAAATTTAAGAATTAGAGGTAAGACAGAATGTAGAATTGCGGATGAGCAAGGAGGCTTCAGAGTTGGGAGGGATGTGTAGATCAAGTGTTTACATTGAAGCATATATGTGAACAGTATTTAGATAAAGGTAGGGGAAATTTTTATTTCATTTATGGATTTAGAAAAGGCATATGATAGAGTGGATAGAGGAGCAATGTGGCAGATGTTGCAAGTTTATGGAATAGGTGGGAAGCTACTAAATGCTGTAAAGAGCTTTTATGAGGATAGTGAGGCTCAGGTTAGGGGTGTAGAAGAGAGGGAATACTTCCTGGGAAAAGTAGGTCTTTGACAGGGGTGTTTAATGTCACCATGGTTGTTTAATATATTATAGATGGGGTTGTAAAAGAAGTAAATGCTAGGTGTTTGGGAGAGGGGTGGGGTTAAATTATGGGGAAATCAAATCAAAATGGGAATTGACACAGTTTTTTTTTTGCTGATGAACTGTCTTATGGGAGATTTTAAAGAAAAATTTTCAAAGGTTTTGTGGATGAGTTTGAGAATATGTGTAAAGGTAGAAAGTTGAAAGTGAACATAGAAAAGAGTAAGGTGATGAGGTATCAAATGATTTAGATAAAGAAAAATTGGATATCAAATTGGGGAGGAGGAGTATGGAAGAAGTGAATGTTTTCAGATACTTGGGATTGACGTGTCGGCGGATGGATTTATGAAGGATGAGGTTAATCATAGAATTGATGAGGGAAAAAAGGTGAGTGGTGCGTTGAGGTATATGTGGAGTCAAAAAACGTTATCTATGGAGGCAAAGAAGGGAATGTATGAAAGTATAGTAGTACCAACACTCTTATATGGATGTGAAGCTTGGTGGTAAATGCAGCAGCGAGGAGACGGTTGGAGGCAGTGGAGATGTCCTGTCTAAGGGCAATGTGTGGTGTAAATATTATGCAAAAATTCGGAGTGTGGAAATTAGGAGAAGGTGTGGAGTTAATAAAAGCATTAGTCAGAGGGCAGAAGAGGGGTTGTTGAGGTGGTTTGGTCATTTAGAGAGAATGGATCAAAGTAGAATGACATGGAAAGCATATAAATCTATAGGGAAGGAAAGAGGGGTAGGGGTCGTCCTTGAAAGGGTTGGAAAGAGGGGGTAAAGGAGGTTTTGTGGGCGAGGGGCTTGGACTTCCAGCAAGCGTGCATGAGCGTTTAGATAGGAGTGAATGGAGACGAATGATACTTGGACCTGACGATCTGTTGGAGTGTGAGCAGGGTAATATTTAGTGAAGGGATTCAGGGAAACCGGTTATTTTTCATATAGTCGGACTTGAGTCCTGGAAATGGGAAATACAATGCCTGCACTTTAAAGGAGTGGTTTGGGATATTGGCAGTTTGGAGGGATATGTTGTGTATCTTTATACGTATATGCTTCTAAACTGTTGTATTCTGAGCACCTCTGCAAAAGCAGTGATAATGTGTGAGTGTGGTGAAAGTGTTGAATGATGATGAAAGTATTTTCTTTTTGGGGATTTTCTTTCTTTTTTGGGTCACCCTGCCTCGGTGGGAGATGACCGACTTGTTGGAAAAAAAAAAAAATACGTACATTTTATGGTTTAATAACGTTTTTTTTTTTTTTTTTTTTCAACAAGTCGGCCGTCTCCCACCGAGGCAGGGTGACCCAAAAAAAAAAGAAAGAAAATCCCCAAAAAGAAAATACTTTCATCATCATTCAACACTTTCACCACACTCACACATTATCACTGCTTTTGCAGAGGTGCTCAGAATACAACAGTTTAGAAGCATATACGTATAAAGATACACAACATATCCCTCCAAACTGCCAATATCCCAAACCCCTCCTTTAAAGTGCAGGCATTGTACTTCCCATTTCCAGGACTCAAGTCCGACTATATGAAAAAAACCCGGGTTTCCCTGAATCCCTTCACTAAATATTACCCTGCTCACACTCCAACAGATCGTCAGGTCCCAAGTATCATTCGTCTCCATTCACTCCTATCTAACACGCTCACGCACGCTTGCTGGAAGTCCAAGCCCCTCACCCACAAAACCTCCTTTACCCCCTCTTTCCAACCCTTTCGAGACGACCCCTACCCCTCTTTCCTTCCCCTATAGATTTATATGCTTTCCATGTCATTCTACTTTGATCCATTCTCTCTAAATGACCAAACCACCTCAACAACCCCTCTTCTGCCCTCTGACTAATGCTTTATTAACTCCACACCTTCTCCTAATTTCCACACTCCGAATTTTCTGCATAATATTTACACCACACATTGCCCTTAGACAGGACATCTCCACTGCCTCCAACCGTCTCCTCGCTGCTGCATTTACCACCCAAGCTTCACATCCATATAAGAGTGTTGGTACTACTATACTTTCATACATTCCCTTCTTTGCCTCCATAGATAACGTTTTTTGACTCCACATATACCTCAACGCACCACTCACCTTTTTTCCCTCATCAATTCTATGATTAACCTCATCCTTCATAAATCCATCCGCCGACACGTCAACTCCCAAGTATCTGAAAACATTCACTTCTTCCATACTCCTCCTCCCCAATTTGATATCCAATTTTTCTTTATCTAAATCATTTGATACCCTCATCACCTTACTCTTTTCTATGTTCACTTTCAACTTTCTACCTTTACACACATTCTCAAACTCATCCACTAACCTTTGTAATTTTTCTTTAGAATCTCCCATAAGCACAGTATCATCAGCAAAAAGTAACTGTGTCAATTCCCATTTTGAATTTGATTCCCCATAATTTAATCCCACCCCTCTCCCGAACACCCTAGCATTTACTTCTTTTACAACCCCATCTATAAATATATTAAACAACCATGGTGACATTACACATCCCTGTCTAAGACCTACTTTTACCGGGAAGTATTCTCCCTCTCTTCTACACACCCTAACCTGAGCCTCACTATCCTCATAAAAGCTCTTTACAGCATTTAGTAACTTACCACCTATTCCATATACTTGCAACATCTGCCACATTGCTCCTCTATCCACTCTATCATATGCCTTTTCTAAATCCATAAATGCAATAAAAACTTCCCTACCTTTATCTAAATACTGTTCACATATATATTTCAATGTAAACACTTGATCTACACATCCCCTACCCACTCTGAAGCCTCCTTGCTCGTCCGCAATTCTACATTCTGTCTTACCTCTAATTCTTTCAATTATAACCCTACCGTATACTTTTCCTGGTATACTCAGTAAACTTATTCCTCTATAATTTTTACAATCTCTTTTGTCCCCTTTCCCTTTATATAAAGGGACTATACATGCTCTCTGCCAATCCCTAGGTACCTTCCCCTCTTTCATACATTTATTAAACAAAAGTACCAACCACTCCAACACTATATCCCCCCCTGCTTTTAACATTTCTGTCATGATCCCATCAGTTCCAGCTGCTTTACCCCCTTTCATTCTACGTAATGCCTCACGTACCTCCACCACACTTACATTCTGCTCTTCTTCACTCCTAAAAGATGGTATACCTCCCTGGCCAGTGCACGAAATTACTGCCTCCCTTTCTTCCTTAACATTTAAAAGTTCCTCAAAATATTCTCGCCATCTACCTAATACCTCCCTCTCCCCATCTATTAACTCCCCTACTCTGTTTTTAACTGACAAATCCATACTTTCCCTAGGCTTCCTTAACTTGTTTAACTCACTCCAAAATTTTTTCTTATTTTCATAAAAATTTCTTGACAGTGCCTCTCCCACTCTTTCATCTGCTCTCCTTTTGCACTCTCTCACCACTCTCTTCACCTTTCTTTTACTCTCCATATACTCTGCTCTTCTTATAACACTTCTGCTTTGTAAAAACCTCTCGTAAGCTACCTTTTTCTCTTTTATCACACCCTTTACTTCATCATTCCACCAATCACTCCTCTTTCCTCCTGCCCCACCCTCCTATAACCACAAACTTCTGCCCCACATTCTAATACTGCATTTTTAAAACTATTCCAACCCTCTTCAACCCCCCACTACTCATCTTTGCACTAGCCCACCTTTCTGCCAATAGTCGCTTATATCTCGCCCGAACTTCCTCCTCCCTTAGTTTATACACTTTCACCTCCCTCTTACTTGTTGTTGCCACCTTCCTCTTTTCCCATCTACCTCTTACTCTAACTGTAGCTACAACTAAATAATGATCCGATATATCAGTTGCCCCTCTATAAACATGTACATCCTGGAGCCTACCCATCAACCTTTTATCCACCAATACATAATCTAACAAACTACTTTCATTACGTGCTACATCATACCTTGTATATTTATTTATCCTCTTTTTCATAAAATATGTATTACTTATTACCAAATTTCTTTCTACACATAGCTCAATTAAAGGCTCCCTATTTACATTTACCCCTGGCACCCCAAAATTACCTACTACTCCCTCCATAACATTTTTACCCACTTTAGCATTGAAATCCCCAACCACCATTACTCTCACACTTGATTCAAAACTCCCCATGCATTCACTCAACATTTCCCAGAATCTCTCTCTCTCCTCTACACTTCTCTCTTCTCCAGGTGCATACACGCTTACTATAACCCACTTTTCACATCCAATCTTTATTTTACTCCACATAATCCTTGAATTTATACATTTGTAGTCCCTCTTTTCCTGCCATAGCTTATCCTTCAACATTATTGCTACTCCTTCTTTAGCTCTAACTCTGTTTGAAACCCCTGACCTAATCCCATTTATTCCTCTCCATTGAAACTCTCCCACCCCCTTCAGCTTTGTTTCACTTAAAGCCAGGACATCCAGTTTCTTCTCATTCATAACATCCACAATCATCTCTTTCTTATCATTTGCACAACATCCACGCACATTCAGACTTCCCACTTTGACAATTTTCTTCTTCTTATTCTTTTTAGTAATCTTTACAGGAAAAGGGGTTACTAGCCCATTGTATGTTATTAAATACCACTGCCTCTACCACTGCCTCCACCACTGCCTCAACCACTGCCTCCACCACTGCCTCGACCACTGCCTCGACCACTGCCTCAACCACTGCCTCCACCACTGCCTCCACCACTGACTCCACCACTGACTCCACCACTGCCTCAACCACTACCTCTACCACTGCCTCAACCACTGCTTCCACCACTGCCTCAACCACTGCCTCAACCACTGCCTCAACCAATGCCTCAACCACTGCCTGTCACCGTCCAATACCTGTCCGAGTAGCCATTCCAATATGCAGTCATGAATGGGTTTACATTATTTATACTGTAGTTTAATAGCAAATAATGAACAAACAAAACACCACACAGTGATGGGAGGGCTGGCTGCCAGTTGCCGGGGTCAGAGGGAGAGTAGTAGGGACTCGCGGGTGGCAGGAAACTTAAATATGATGTGGCAGCTTGGAATTTGGCATTTGGGAATTCACGAATGTGTGAAGCCCATGAAAATTGAAAACGCGAATGTTGAGGGAGACCTGTATAATGTAATCCTTTATGACAGGACCTATTTCTCACTTTCTTTTATACAAATGTACCTACAAACTGTATGTTGTAGATGAATGGTTTAGAGAACCGACAAGTTGATAAATTAATGAGGAAACATTTCACCACACAGTGGCTTCATCAGTCCATACAAAGGGGAATAGTGAAGGACAGGAGGAGTCTTGAGTCGATTTAATCAGTCCATCAATCTTGAAAAGAATACAGCATATGTGCAAAGAAATGGCTTATATACTATAAGCAAGAGAGGTGCAGCAGTCGTAGGTGGTGTCACAATTGTCCACTGTGGAAGAAGGTCATGGGGCAGCAAATGATAAAGAACAGTAATAATAATAAAAATTTTACGTCCTCATTAACACACATCGTAGATTTAAGTATACAATACATTCTTTTCCTGTGTGTCAATTATGTTAGAAAGTCATTTTAATATCTTAGAATTTAATTAAGAGTTTCTGAGGCATAATGCTTACCTTACCTTCCTTGGATCAAATCTAATTCCCCAGGCTCTGTAGGTCAATTGCCTCTCAAGAGAGGTTTCTTGATGCTGGTAGGGACACTTGATCCCAAGAATTGTACTTATCCTCCCATTATTAAAAGCATACCAGATTGTTTCCTAGGGGTATGCCAAGGCATCAGTATCGGCCTAAAATTGAGTATCAGTATTGACAAGAAACTTGGTATAGCCCCATCTCTATTGTCTCCCTCCCATTTCTTTAGTAGTGTATGACCCCAATATTTATAATGTAAGCCCAAGAAGAGTTTAGCCCTTTCCCATGAGTGTTATACAGTAATAATAATAATCATAATCTTCCATAGTCCAGTCTCACCTTTTCTGTTATGGTTAACACTTCAACTTTGGTAGCAAGAAGCACAGAAGAATCATCACATAAGCTATGAACTTCTTCAAGAACCTCGTCCTCTGTCAGTAGTTCGCCACCTTCCTCTATGTAGTTATGCACTTGACGGAGAACATGATCATAGATTCTCAGGGGATTATGATCTTCAAGTGTTAAATTCACCTAAGGAAATAAGAGTAAAAATAATACACTAAAGGTCTTGCTATCAATAATAGAAAGAATACTAAGTGAATTTATAAAACAGCAGAATGCAAGTAATTCTAACAAACCTGTGTATCATGGCCCTTCCAATGTGAGATCAAGAGCCTTAGTGTGTCCATTACAACATCTTCAGGTGTACTAGTGGAGCCCTCAGGGTAAACACTCAGCACTTCTTGCAAAACATCCAAGTTTGATCCCTCTAGCAGCACTGATAGTGACAGCTCCCATAGCAGAGGTTCACTGCTGCCAGTCTGGGCAAACTAGAAGTAAAATAAACACTTTGATGGAGCACTGTATTTCTGATATTTTCTCTGTTATCCCTTAAAATCTTACTATTTTTTATATGCCATAACATTTTAATAAATAAGATTAGGTATGACTAATAATTGCCAAGAATTAAATGTACAATTCAATAACAAATTCATACATCTAATCCTCTCTTTCTTAGCACTGCACAAAGAGGGACTCTTATCTGAAATGTCCAGAGAATGTAGAAAACAGACAATAACCTTTGACCATCTAATTTTAAAGGAACTTACCCTGTTGGCATAACTCCTAAGTTTTGGATCCTTACTCTTTTTCAGCTTTTGGAATGTACTGGAGCATAGAAGCTCTAGATGAGTTCCCCACCGTTCTACTTCTTGTAATGCCTCTTGCCAACCTTGACCATCATCAGCTAACTGTCATGTAAGAATAAGTTAGTCTAATTATGTACTGTTCAGGATGAATTAAAAAGTTTTGCTGTATTTTATATTTTACTTACCCTTACAACTGTTTAATTATTGCTAGTTATTAAGTTATAATGAACCATCAAATATAATACTGTAATTACAAAATAGAAAGTTCTTAAAATTACTAATAAGAATTATTTCAGATACTGAGTGGTGAATTTTGCAGCTCTTAAACTTTCAGGAGAATGTGTTATGGTGGTATCAATATATGAAAAAGTGGTGAAGAAAGTGCTCGAAAGTTAATTTTACTAAGAGAGAGGAAGGTTAGATAAAACAGAGTATGAATGTGAACAATACATAAGTGGCAATGAACAGAGCTGAATGAAAACTGCTACTAGGAATGTAAAATGGACAATTTTTTTTTATATCCATGATGAATGTATAACCAGTGTATGAAGCTTGTTTCTTATGTTTTTGTTCTTTCAACATGCTGGCTGTCTCTCACCAAGGCAGGGTGACCCAAAAAAAGAAATATTTTCACCATCATTCACACATAATCATTGTCTTTGCAGAGGCACTACAGTACTAACAAGGTGAATGAGTTTTGAGCACCACTACACTCATCTGAGTTTTTAAGTAAAATAATAACCAATGGAAAAAAATACAATGACTGTAGATTATCAAAGTTCTCAAAGGGAGATAATTTAAGGATTCTGAAGGTGGACAATATTGTACAATGCATGCACTCTATAGAATGAGTAGGAATGTTGCCTTTCAATAACTCACTAGAAGGAAGATGTCTGTGCTCTGTGAAAAGATAACCAGAGAATGATGGCGATTGACAAATATATTTTTCTCTACTGAGTCACTCTGCCTGCCTCATATTTAAAAAAATACTTAATACAGCATAGTGCAACACCTTCACTGTGTACACCAACTGGTTCCTAATAAGAATCTGTTAGTTTCGTATAATATTTTGTCAATTTTATTTCATTAAGTTTTGTTCCATTCTGGATTGTTTGGTTAGAGGAGCTATCATCTTCCCCACCAGCTCAATAATATATATTCTGGCCTCCCACTATCCTCAGCAGTCTACAAGAAATGAAGCTAACCTAACTTGGATGATGCAAGTCCAATAAAAGAGGAGGGGCTGTTGTGTAGGTTTGGTCATTAAGGAAGGTTGGTAAGGAGGGTGTATAAATCTGAGGCAGATGGAAGGAAGTAGGGACTTCCAGAAAAGAATTTGCTGAAAAATGTGAAAGAAGAACTTAGGCATAGGCTTTTAATATCCATCAAGAACATTTGAATGTGTTCATTTGGAGTAAAAGTGCATGAAGATACTCAGAGGATCTGGCTAACTGTTTGGATGTTGTAAGTATAGTTCATTGGAATACTGAACTGTGAAATCTGTGCCCTGCTTTGTTGGGAAAAGCCAGGGATACGTTGTGCATCTTTATATGTATATGCTTCTAAACTGTTGTGTTCTGGGCACCTCTGCAAAAACAGTGATTATGTATGAGTGAGGTGAATGTGTTGAATGATGATGAAAGTATTTTCCTTTTGGGGATTTTCTTTCTTTTTGGGTCACCCTGCCTCGGTGGGAGACGGACGACTGTTAAAAAAAAATAAAATAAAAATACATACAACAACTAAGCCAAACCTAATATTTAAAATGAACATATGTAAATGATATTGGCAGTTTGGAGGGGTATGTTGTGTATCTTTATACGTATATGCTTCTAAACTGATGTATTCTAAGCACCTCTGCAAAAACAGTGATAATGTGTGAGTGTGGTGAAAGTGTTGAATGATGATGAAAGTATTTTCTTTTTGGGGATTTTCTTTCTTTTTTGGGTCACCCTGCCTCGGTGGGAGACAGCCGACTTGTTAAAAAAAAAAAAAATGTAAATGAGGAAATTAGGAGAAGGTGTGGAGTTAATAAAAGTATTAGTCAGAGGGCTGAAGAGGGGTTGTTGAGGTGGTTTGGTCATTTAGAGAGAATGGATCAAAGTAGAATGACATGGAGAGCATATAAATCTGTAAGGGAAGGAAGGCGGGGTAGGGGTCGTCCTCAAAAAGGTTGGAAGAAAGGGGTAAGGGAGGTTTTGTGAGCAAGGGGCTTGGACTTCCAGCAGGTGTGCATGAGCGTGTTCGATAGGAGTGAATGGAGACGAATGGTATTTGGGGCCTGACGATCTGTTGGAGTGTGAGCAGGGTAATATTTAGCGAAGGGATTCAGGGAAACCGGTTATTTTTGTATAGCTGGACTTGAGTCCTGGAAATGGGAAGTACAATGCCTGCACTCTAGAGGGGTTCGGGATATTAGCAGTTTGGAGGGATATGTTGCGTATCTTCATACGTATATGTTTCTAAACTGTTGTGTTCTGGGCACCTCTGAAAAAACAGTGATTATGTGTGAGTGAGGTGAAAGTGTTGAATGATGATGAAAGTATTTTCTTTTTGGGGATTTTCTTTCTTTTTGGGTCACCCTGCCTCGGTGGGAGACAGCTGACTTGTTAAAAAAAAAAAATGTAAATGAGAAAGAACATTATATAGCTTAATAAGCTAAGCTGATGTGTCCACAAAAATGGGATACTGTATAGAAATTTTAACAGATATATAAGTGGTAGATGCAAAAACAAATATCAGACTCACCATCCATCCTTCTTCCTCAGTAAACTAATAAAAATAAGAAGTATGAACCTGTCTTTAATGGACTTTGGAAAACAATAAAATTAGTTTGACAAGATAGTCAAATTATATACAGTATACAGATTATAATGCCCAAATGCAGCACATTTTTAGACAATGTAAATATTCAAATATTAGTATTTAAAATAGTTCATGAATTAAATTTCATACATCCAATACATTATAAATCAATTATACTAACTCTATAGTTCAAACAACGTTAACATTTTTTATGAAATGACAATTATTACCTATATGCAGTTACCTATCTGTAGCTTTAGCAGCATATGTATAATCATATATTCCATGCTCAATAATAACCCACAAAGACAGAAACTCAGAAAATTAATTGGTCTGTATATTTTGATCCCCATGCTAGGGTCTTCTGCTGAAGAGGATAAGAGGGGTTGAAATACAGAGGCCAATCAATTTTCTGAGTTTCTGTCTCCATGTGGGTTATTACTGAGCACTGACAAGTGCTCAATACATTTTCTTCAGTTACAGTATTCCATCTTCAGTATTGAATCTATCATGCATTTCAAAGTTACCAGTGGTTGTAGCATTTATTTGTACTCCCTTTTGTTTCCTATTCCGGTGTTCTACCACTATTTGTGAAGAAAAACTTATTGTCCTTTCACCAAAAAAAGTGTTAAGAGTATTGTAATGGGATACAGGAGGCAGTAGAAGCCATACCTACTGGTAACTATAAAGATTATATGACAAAGTAAACAGTGATGATAGGATACCACAAGCATAGTTTTGTTCCTGTAATTACAAATTACAAATCCAACTATGGATGCCCTTTGCATAAATTATGTCACTGTAAATACTATATAGAAACAATTAAAACTTACCATAAGCTTAAATTTTACAAGTACCCATGAACAAATGGAATAACATTAAGGATTACCTTCTGCTTGCTTTGCTGCTGCTTGCAAAACTTAACAGCTCTGCGAGTGAACTCTATCCTGGCCTCTAACGGCACCATCTGAGCTCCCATGTCAGACAGAACAAGTTGATTCACAAAGTTGACAATATCAGGAGGGTTCATTTTCTGCATGTACTCTCCACATAACTCATATCTACAGAACAGAAATAGAATAGACAAGTGGCTGTCTCCCACCAAAAAAATTAAACATTCACTGCCACTCATTCAATAATTTCAAGTGACCCTCCAAACTGCAATATCCTCAGCCCTCCTTCAGGTTGCAGGCCCTGTATTACCCACCTCTAGGACTCAGGTCTGGCTAACCAGTTTCTGTGCATCCCTTCATATTGTTGTGTTGCTCATGCTCCAACAGCATGTCAAACCCATAAAATCCACTCACTTTGTTATAACATGCTCACACATGCCTGCTGGATGCTCATGCCCCTAGCACTTAAATCCTCCCTCAAACCATTCCTGGTATGACCCCTACCCGTTCTTCCTTCTATCCCTGCTTTGTTTGCCCTCTTGGTAAAAATATTTTGCTGCATCTTTCATAATTCCAGTTTTCTAAATTTTACTTTTCAAATTCTTTGCATAATATTCACACTGCACATTGTCCTCAAACATGACTTTGTCACTGCTTCCAGCTTCCTCCTTGCTGCAACATATAAAGACCATGCCTAACATTTACATAAAAGGGTTGATACTACCATTCTCAGGCATATTTCCCTTTTGCCTCTATTAATAAACTTTTTTCTCCACAGATGCCTTGACATAACATCTACATTTTTTCTTTCCTCTATTCTGCGACTCATCTTGTGTTTTACAGACTCATCTGCTCATACACCTACCATCCGGCTTACAACTGAGCTCGGTTCCGACCAACCGGTCGTAAGTAAAAATGGACGTAAGTCGAACTTTACTACTGAATATCAACATCACATTTTTGTAATGACTTCATTTTATTGTTTTATTTTGGTATTTCACGTTTTACTTTACTTTTTATGCTGTTAGTACTGTATTTTATACTGTAAGGTTTAGGATAAACACTGTGTACAACACAAATAGTTGTTTATGTCCCAGAAATTTGGCATACAAAACACGGCCGTAAGTTGAGTGGTCGTATGTCGAGCAGGTCGTAAGTCGGATGGTAGGTGTATCTAAATATATTCACTTCCTCCTGCTTGATGTCCAAATTTTCACAGCCTAAATTTTGTGCTACACTCATTGCCTTGTTCTTTTCTTTGCTTACAATACTTTCAATTTCTTTCTTCTATTTACCCTCCCAAACTTGTCCACCCTACAGACTGTTGGCCCAAAAGTATTTCCGCATTGTATGCCAGTATGGAATAATGTCCACAGCCACACTAAAATGTAATAAAACAGTATTAGTTATTGCAGAAATGTACACATAAACTTTAGGTTTAGCAATTGCATGATCTAAATATGGTCTTTAATTAATGAAATAAAATTCAAAGAAAACTAAACTAATACATACCTGTGAATCCAGTCACTGGAAGTCTTGGGCTTTTTACCAGATGGACTTTCAAAAAAATACTTTTGAGCCCAGGCACAATAAACAGTACTTGGCTCAATGCCAGCTCCTTCTTTGCATGGTACATTTTTTGCAACTTTAGCAAGGTTATTCACATTTTCAGCAGTCAGAACTGGACGAAGGATAGCCAAAACATCAGAGTTGGGCTTTAAAAGTAATTTATAATTCAGGCCCTCTGCTGAGCCTTTAAGTTTTTTTAGGAGTTTAACATGGGATGGGGCCACCTTACTTTCTGGTTCTTTGCCACCACACTGCTCAATCAAAGAATAGTAGAGGAGTAGCCGTTCATGGTCACAACCATTCACCGTCAGTAAGACATTTTGTTCCATGCGAGACACAAACTCCTTTGGTTCCTTGCCAAGGGTTTGAATCATATCTTTTTCGGTTATATGTTTCCTAAGTTCTGCAGTAGTAATTTCAGAGTCAAAGAGGTGTTGTAAATGAGTCATATACACCTGCCAGAGTGACACCTCATACTTCTTGGCCAACGTGAGAGCCAACTCTAAAACTTCATTGTCCAGTGTCATAGCCAGGCCGAGAACTGTGTCCTCTTTATAGCTAGGATCTGTTAAAAATCTATCAATGTCTACTCCAGCACCAAGTCGTTGGAGAGCCTGGCCCTGTACATAGTCTGATACAAGCTCCTGAGTGCTCTGGAATAATTGTATTAACTGTTTTAATTCTACAGCAAGTTCTGAAACATTTAAGGACTCAATAATGCTAGAAACTTGGGCAATAACATCTGCTGGATCGTGAAGGAACACTGGAGCAATACATGGCTCGGTCCATGGGTGAAGACTTGTGAATATTCGTAGAGCATAATAATACTGGGTCATCTGCAAAAGAAAAAAAATATATACTATATGAAATGCAAATGTACAGTTCTTATTCACACATCAGCCAATTCCAGCAAGGCAGGATAACCTAAACAAAGAAAATTCATTACACTCACTCATTCCCTAGCAATCTTTACTGATATACATAATTTTCTATAATACATACAGTAAATACACATGTCTGATGCCTTACCCTGCAATTTAAGGTGGCTGCAAATTATCTCTTAAATATTTCAACAATTAAGAATCATGATTTTAAATATACAGACCCAAGTTTTTCAGACATTTTTTATCAACTCTTACACAGTATAAGTAATTTGTATGTTAAAATGAATTATCAGTCACTTCATGAGTGTTCCCATTAATTTTAAGATGTACGCATATGTAGTAATGAGGGTAGAAGGTAAACTGATACAGACAATATGGATAAAAGGACACAAGTGAACATTCTTAGGAAATCTTTACTGGATACATTTTGGTCCAGGGACCTTGGAGTGACCAAGGTCCCAGGACCAAAACACATTTAATAAAGATGTCCCAAGTGAATGCACTTGCATCCTTTCATCCCTATGTATCAATAATGGGCCAAACAAACAATACAACTTGTGTTCTAACATGAAAACTGACTGAGACAAAGAGAGCATATTTAAAGAAAATGGCAAAAATCTACATAGATGATTTATCCAATGGCCTCCACAAATGAATGTCAGTAGAACAGGTCTTAACACCTGCATAATATAAGTGGCCTCAGTGTACATCAGGCTAATTTGGATATTATCATAACTATTTGGTCTCTCAGGGAGGTACTACCGTCCTGCCAAGTGAGTGTAAAACGAAAGCCTGTAATTGTTTTACATGATGGTAGGACTGCTGGTGTTCCTTTTTCTATCTCATAAACATGCAAGATTTTCAGGTAAGTCTTGCTACCTCTACTTACACTTAGGTCACACTACACATACATGTACAAGCATATATATACACACCCCTCTGGGTTTTCTTCTATTTTCTTACTAGTTCTTGTTCTTGTTTATTTCCTCTTACCTCCATGGGAAAGTGGAACAGAATTCTTCCTCCATAAGCCATGCATGTTGTAAGAGGCGACTAAAATGCCAGGAGCAAGGGGCTAGTAACCCCTTCTCCTGTACATATTACTAAATGTAAAAGGAGAAACTTTCGTTTTTCCTTTTGGGCCACCCCGCCTCGGTGGGATACGGCCGGTGTGTTGAAAGAAAGAAGAGATTTGGTCTCTCAATGTCACAAACATGGTACTCTAGATGTATACTAGTACGGGAAGTGCAAGAAGAATAAGCATGAATCTATGACTTAGTAGAAATAACAGAGTTGTTAGATATGCTTAGAGGTGGTCCACGTATGGTGGAAACTGCATGTGCATCGTGTGAATAAATCAGCCATCTAGAGTTAGAAATGATAAAAAGAAGAAATAAGAGCTTTTGCATGAAGTGGTGCTCAAAAGAATATCAAGAAGGTCATAAAAGCTAAATAAAATAAAAAAACTTGTTAAGAGTCAACTGAGAGAAAAAATACAGAAAGGGGGTCCACTTACTGCTCACATAATAAAGTACAAACCCCTATCATACCATAAAAGTGTGTACAGTATGTTCAGTGTTAGATGATTTGAAATTTTTAAAAAAGCAAAATCATCTTTATGACAAAATTTTCTGGTTATCTCTAAATCTCTATCATATTCAAGAAAGTTTCAGTTCAAATGTGATGTTTTTACATCAATTTATAAATCAATGTCTTACTCTAACCTGTAATGAGATGTCAGTGCATGGAAGACTAGATAATACAGCTGCAGCATCCTCAGGCTGCTGCAACATTAACAGCAGAGTAAACCCAAGAGACAAGTCTTCTCGCAGTATTCCACGTGCAACCTCAGCCACCACTGTTAGAGTAATAAACTATTAGAATACAAAATTAAAATTACAATTAACAAAGTAACAAACCTGGTTGTAAATTGTTATTGAAGTTTTATTTTTACACTGGTGTCCACAGTTCTTAAAAAACATATATTATGATTTTTACTTGTGCAGTATAACATATGTAGTGGTGCCACTTTAAAAAATCATTCAATTCTAAAGTACAAAAATATTTATGAAAGTGGTCTTGATACAAAAGAGAAGCTACTTCTTTCAACACACTGGCCGTATCCCACCGAGGCGGGGTGGCCCAAAAAGCAAAATAAAAGTCTCTCCTTTTACATTTAGTAATATATACAGGAGAAGGGGGTTACTAGCTCCTTACTCCCAGCATTTTAGTTGCGTCTTACGACACGCATGGCTTACGGAGGAAGAATTCTGTTCCACTTCCCCATGGAGAAGAGAAGCTTCCTTTGTCAGCCAAGCGTGTCATAAGAGGCAACTACGTACAATGTCGGGAGCAAGAAACTGGTAACCCTTTCTCTTGTATAAATTACTAATTGTAAAAAGAAGAAAAACGTTACATTCCTCCTTTTTATTGGGTCACCCTGCCTTGGTGGGAGACAGCCAACGTTAAAAACTTTTTATTATTATTATGTATTATATCCTTTTATCACACAGGTAAATTAAGATTACTATATTCTACTGCATTCAGTAGTTTTGAATTAAAAAAAAAAGTTTTAACGTAATTTCAAGAACTGTCATGATATGCAGGACAAGTCCTGCTTACATCTTCAGTAGAAGACAAGAACCCAATAATTGTCCAAATTTCTTTTCCAGGACACCAACCTCAGCATCTATTGTACAATACTATCAGGGGTGTCAGTGAACTATATCACACTGAAAAGGTAGCCCAAACCTGCCTCTGATGCAAGATCCCTTCTTGGAACCATAAAAATTATATCTTAGCTTTAAAATGGATTAAAACATATAACCTGTTATAAAATCAGCCAAATAAAGTTAATTATGTACTATAATTCTCTCAATAGATACTTGAATGTCAAAAGTGTACAATGTACACTATGAAAGCCCAATGAACAGGTTGAATTTAATGAGGTTGTAGATTTTAATTATTTTACTGACTTAGAATACTAAGAAACAAGTATATATCATATTTGAACACAAGAGCTTGTAAGATATAGTACAACAGCCTAAGATAAATACAGTATACAGAAAAGATGAAGATGAACTCCAGTTTTCCAAGAATTTTGGATTATCGAGTTTACTGTAAAAAGCATAAATAAAAATCAACTGGAATACTCGTACTTCAATATTAAATGAGCTCACTGGAATATCTTGATTTTCTGTGTTAGGCCCCTGCATTGCAGATGATATAAAAATGCAAATCAACGTAGTACAGTAACCATGTATCATAAGTGTTAAAAATTTAAGAGGAATTACCAGCCCTATACATTGGAAAGATTACATATTAAGTTGATGTAAATTTATTTTCTCCTGCAAAGGTTCAGAAAACTATTACTGTATGAAAGATTAACATCTCAGTAGACAGTGTATGGGACAATGCTTCTTTATTTCATACAAATTGTTGAAATATGCTGTCATACCTGTCTTATTTGTCTTAATTGTCTTGCCCTGGGTGAGTGTCTCTTCTATAAGAGCAATGCGCAAGAGAGCCAAGGAGAACTCAAGGGCAGGATTAGTAATGGTGGGTAGTGCATAACTCTTGTAGCTTGCACCTAACAACAACAAAAATGTTTAATTAGAATGAATCATGATTAAATGTAAATTATATGTACATGTACATACATACAGTCTTACACAGCACATACATAAAATAATCAAATATTATAATAATATTAACTTTTCCTGCTAATAGCATAATTATTTTCCTTGCTACACTAGGCAATACTTTTACATTACACATACTGCAGTTGTTAAATTTTAAAACAGCTTAAGCATTATCAAGAGAAAGATACTGTCAAGGTACAAAAACTAAAAATAGTAAGCATTAACACACTGCGGCTAGCTGGGGATCGAACCCAAATTGTTTTAGCCCACCTCATGAGAAGCAACAACGTGGATTCAATCCTGGCTTGCCGCAGTGTGTTACTGCTTAAATACCACTTGTTCATGGTTGTATTAATAGTAAGTATATACAATAAATATTAGCTCTTACCAATAGAGCTAATATGGTGATCAGGAATAATGTCAGCATAGAATGCATGACAACCCTGCTGCTTAAAATCAACATTGGTGTCTTCAACAAGCTGATCATTCTCCCCACGTGAAGACAGCTCATGAAGTGGTTGCATCCAGCTGTACCATAAATGAGGTATGCTTAAGAAAACAGTAAAAATTTTGGTCTAATTTGCATCGTTTCTAAAAGAAGACGATCCTAAATTAAACAGAAACTCCAAATAATGTTTACCTGGCTTCAATATCATTTAACTTTTTTCACTAAAATCTGAGTGATACTTAAGTAATGATTTAAGTTTATATTAAAGATACACATTATGAATGGAAACTGTTTACAGATGTGTGTGCATTTTACAAGGAATAGGGATGTTAAGGGCTAGTGGGCTCAACAAACAATGAATAAACTAAAAAAATGCAGTTTTATGCTAATTTTCATACAGATTAAAAAATTATAACAGAAAGACATTGCACACTGTAAACAAAAATATATATTATGTAGAATAGTGCAATTCACTATACAGTGGACCCCCGGTTAACGATATTTCTTCACTCCAGTAGTATGTTCAGGTGCCAGTACTGACCGAATTTGTTCCCATAAGAAATATTGTGAAGTAGATTAGTCCATTTCAGACCCCCAAACATACACATACAAACGCACTTACATAAATACACTTACATAATTGGTCACATTCGGAGGTAATCGTTATGCGGGGGTCCACTGTATGTTAATAATAATTTGGATAATGTGGCAATGCTCCATCATGAACTATGCTACCAATAAGAGAAATTACCTTTCGTTTACACACTCTTACTTTATTGCTGCTCTCCAAAACTGTTTAGATGCCACACTGGTAACCAAGTTAGATGTAGTGGATGCTGTAACAGCCAAAACTGAACGAGTCACCCCCAAGGTGCCTTGTAACAGTCCCTTATTTTCATCCATTTCATCCGAACTGTCTTTCTCTCCATCTTCCTCATCCTCATCTTCGTCCATTTGCTGGGGATGGTTAACAATGACACATCTTAGGGTGATCTGGTAAATACAAAATATTTTTATAAAAAAAAAAAAAAAACCTATTTTAACAGATTTTGGACTTAATGGACAAAATCAGTAGTCTGGACAACATCCAGAAAGAATGGACAAAGTCCATTCATTCTGGAAATGACTGACCAAGTCCAATGTTTCCAGAATGTTCATTATAATCATGGCAATAAAATCTCATTATTAGTATTTAACGGATAATAGGCATTACCGGAGGGACTCTTCCGCTATAAATCCATTAAACTGGTTTCACTATATGGTAATGAGTTCTGTACTTTTACTTCCAACATAAACCAATGGAACACTGTTTCCTTGTCTACTTTACAGAGGTAAAACCGTTTACTTACTGTATATAAAAAATCTTTCCAAAGTGGGGTGCAATGGATTCATCCAAAAGTAAAGAAGGAAAGTGCAAGAAATACATATACAGTGTATTAAGAAAAATGGGAGAACATTTACACGAATATGCTTCATAAGTTACAGAAAAAAGAATCACAACAAAACGCTAATGGGTACTGTAATGAAACTTTCTTATCTACTGTACTTTTAAGATTGGAAATAACTTACATGTGATTTGGCATCAACAAAACCATCATCAGAGTCTCCAGTGGTGTCTTCAGTATCCATCTGGGTGTTGACTTTGGCATACAACATTGCCATTTCTACTTCATTCCTAAAAAGAATAAATACATATATAAATAATGGAAACTTATTTTTTTTATCTCTCTGGTTAACCTTGTTTTATACGGCAAGTATCATATCTAAGATTTATATTCCTTGTTTTTACAAAGCAAAGGCTGTACCTACGTAAGTTTTATACTCTTTGTTTTTATAAAGCAATTATCATACCTAAGTTTTATATTTAATTTGTACTGTTTTTGTCACTTGTGTGAAGCTGATATGAAATAAAATACCTCTCTTTTCTATCATACCTATTTGTGAGCAACTTAAAATGACACCTAGTGCCCTACACCAAGTCTTAATACAGAACTTTTAAAGAGGAGACATGATGTAGAATCCACATAATTATTACTTTATTGTAATATTATAGGGAGCACTAAACCTTGGAATCAACAGTGCCGGGGGGGGACGGAAGGATTCAGGTTTTGATTAAAGGATTTCAGCGACATATCACTCCACCAGCATAAAGGGGAACCCCCCTTTGAGAAGTACAGATCCACAAAAAGATATGTTACTGTTTAGCAGAATTTTTCATTATAATTCCTTTTGTTGTTGTATTGTGCTTTTATCAAAAACAATAACCTGAGATGACAAAAGGCAGCATCAATGTTGACTAAATTCTTATTTTTTTTTTTTGCCAACACCTTGGTTGATTGCTATCACATTTAATTTGGTCTGACTCAGTCTCTTTATATTTGTTTTTCTGAGTACCCATTTGGACGGTACCGATCAAGCCCCTGGTCAAGGGCCCTGATCATAGACTGTAGATGAAAATTAACACACTGTTAAACCTTTCCTAGGTTGGGGGGACTGATTTCCTGGGTTTACCTGGAGGATTCCGGGGGTCAAGCCCCCGGGGCCCGGTCTGTGACCAGGCCTCCTGGGGGATCAGAGCCTGATAAACCAGGCTGTTGCTGCTGGCTGCACACAAACCCAACGTACGACCCACACCCCGGGGCTGATGGGAACTACTTTAGGTGCTTTCCAGTGCAGCTTAAAGACTGCCGGGGTCTTTGGGTTTTTCCCCCCTTATGTGTGCGGGAGGAGTTGAACAGTTCGGGCCCCGACACTTATTGTATGGTCTTTAACGTCTAGTGACCCCCTGCTTTTTCATTGGGGGGGTGCATCGTCTCCCAAAGTCTTTTTGCTTTCTTTGTGAGTGATTTTGTGTGCAAGTTGGGGTCTAGTCCCTCAAATTTTTCCGGGTGTATATAACATGTTCTTCCCCCCTGCGCCCCGGGGGAATACAGGTTTGGAACCTCAATGCTCCGTTTTTGAGGTTTTTTATTCCGTTATGCGCGCCGTGAAAAGTTCTTGTACATTCCAGGTAGCAATTTCCCTCCTAAAAGGTGTTTTTAGTGTGCAGCAATACTCCACCCTGATAGAACAAGTGCCCTGGAGTGTCATCATGGGCTTGGCCTCCCAGTTTTTAGGGTTTCTTATCCATCCCGTCATTTTTCTAGCAGATGCGATTGATACAAGTTTTGGTCCTTGAAGTGAGATCCCCCGACTGTCACTCCCAGTCTTTGCTTGGTGTTTCGCTCTATTTTTGGGGCCCAAATTTGTTTTGTACTCTGATGAAGATTTTAAATTTTCCCCATGTTTTCCTATCTGAGTAATTGAAATTTTTTCTCGTTGAATTCATATTTTTTCTGAGCCCATGAGATTTTGGGTTTAGTCCGCCTGGGGCCTTGCGTGTCTGCAAAGGAAGACACTGTCAGGGAGATTCGGGGGGTCATTGCAAAGGGAAAACACGGTGCTGTGGCTACATCCTTTTCTATGTCGGATATGAGGATGAGGGAAAAAGATGGGGCGATACTGTGCCTTTTGGGAAAAGAGCTTTTCACCCTAGCTCCTCGGCTTTACTCTGTTGACGACTACTCCTGTGTTCTGTTAGTGAGGAAATTTTGATCCATCGACCCCTTTTCCCGTTATTCTTTTGCACGCATTTGTGCGCATTACCATGGCACACTTGTCGAAGGCTTTTGCAAAGTCGATTTTATTAATCTGCATTCTTTTTTTCTTCTAATGCATTTAGGACCTTGTGTAGTGACCAATAGTTTAGACAGACATGGCGCCCGTTCTAAACCCCTTGCCCCGGGTTGTGTAATGATGGGTTTCTAGATGGGGGGTGATCTTGCTTCTTGGACCCTTTTAAAGTTTTTATATATGGGATGTTAGTGCTTTGGGCTGTAGTTTTTTGCTGTTGCTTTACTGCCCCCCCTTTTGGGTGGGGCTATGTCTGTTGTTTTTAGTAACTGTGGGACGCCCCGTGTCCTGCCCCCTCTCCATAGGATGGGAAAAAATGTGATGGGTTTTTCTTTCAGTTTTGTGAAAAACAGGTTTCCCTGAGTCTGGCCCCGGGGGGGAGAGTGCATGGCATGTCATTTTCGCCGTTCGAAGTATTTGGGGGCGGATAACACGGAAGGTTTGTGTTAATCAAATTTTGTGGCTCTCTCATAAAAAATTCATTTTGATCTTCGACTCTCAGTCTGGTTAGCGGCTTGCTAAAAACTGAGTCATATTGGGACTTGAGTAGCTCACTCATTTCCTTGCTGTCATCTGTGTAGGACCCATCTTGTTTAAGTAGGGGCCCAATACTGGACGTTGTTCTCGATTTTGATTTGGCATAGGAGAAGAAATACTTTGAGTTTCTTTCGATTTCATTTATGGCTTTTAGTTCTTCCCGCGATTCCTGACTCCTAAAGGATTCTTTTAGCTTAAGTTCGATGCTTGCTATTTCTCTGACCAGTGTCTCCCTACGCATTTCAGATATATTGACCTCTTTTAGCCGCTCTGTTATTCTTTTCCGTCGCCTGTAAAGGGAGCGCCTGTCTTTTTCTATTTTACATCTACTCCTTTTTCTTAGAGGAATAAGCCTTGTGCATACATCGAGTGCCACCGAGTTAATCTGTTCTAGGCATAAGTTGGGGTCTGTGTTGCTTAGTATATGTTCCCAGCTTATATCGGTAAGGACTTGGTTTACTTGGTCCCACTTTATGTTTTTGTTATTGAAGTTGAATTTGGTGAATGCTCTTCTGTATATAGTCCTACTGTCTTCAAGTTATGTCCTAGAATTTGTATTGATAAAACCACTGGATGGCGAAACGTCTACAATAAAGATACCCAGATGCTGCACATGTGTCTTAATTTCATCTTGTCGGTATTATATACCATTCTTGCACAACTGTAGATGTAGATACTAGCAGCAAACAGTGCTGCATGGCACCACAGTTTGGATGAAGTCAATTAAAAAATAAATGTCTTATTATTGCTTGGTTTAGGGCATCGTGTGTTCGTAAAAGCATATACGATGACATAATATCTGTGCTGGGAACTTTGTTTTAAAACAGTATCTGGATCCTGTGTGGCAACGCCTGGATTTCTGTCCTACCTAAAAAAAAAAAACATTCATCAGCTTACTAATCTTGAATTTTTTTTAACACATCAGCCGTCTCCCACTGAGGCAGGGTGACCCAAAAAAATAAGAAACAAAAGTTTTTATTTTTTTTACATTTAGTAATTTATACAGGAAAGAGGTTACTAGCCCTTTGCTCCCAGTATTTTAGTCTCTTATGGCACACACGGCTTATGGAGGAAGCCAAAATTTCCATTTGTGAATTCTCACTAATATTATCAAGGAACAGCTGTTCCTTGATAATGTGAGACATCACAAAACGTGCTTGGATTATTACTTTTTCACTGTTTATACTACATATTAAGATATCATTTATTTCCTGTGATTTCTTTCACTCACAGTATGAGATCAGGTAATTAACTCCACATATACAAACTAAGTTACCTGGCATTCAGAAGGGTTTCCAAATGACTGGGAGTGGCATAGGTGAGTGCAAAATTAAGAAATCTGGCCCTGGCAGCAAGATTGGCATACTGGTGAGCTCTACCCAGCTGCTCGCACACCACCCAGCCCTCACGGTGACCACCTGACACCAGCTGCTCGCACACACTGCTTGCAACAACGTAGTCACCAGCCTGCAACAGTGCACACTCATTCAGACCACTGGGAATGGCCTGTATCAGCAGTTGCTATGACTTGGTCCATCATGCGGCTTTACTGAACCGGGCATCATATGACAAAGATCAAAAGTCACTTTATTGTAAAAACTGAGTTAATTTTAATTCTTCTTATGTGCATTAAATTATTCATGATTAGTGGTGAATAGGTTAAATGCAACCTTAATTACTTACGTGTTGTAGTTTTTTAAACCCGATAACCGTGTGGAAAAAAGATACACATGTACAGGAAATTAGGGCTGAAGAGAGCACTCATGGCTTCTTCAGTCCTATACTACAAAGTTCAGTCAAAGGTCTCCCATTATTGTTTACCCCTGGCACCCTAAACTTACCTACCACGCCCTCTAACTTTGGGATTCAGGTCCCCCATCAAAATTTATTTTCTCACCGGGTTTCCAAAATTTCCCTTTCCACTCAACATTTTCCCAAATTTTTTCCCTTCCCCCCTCTCTTCCCCAGGTGCATATATACTTTTTTAAAACCCCCTTTTTTGTATCAAATTTCCCTTTTAAAAATTTCCCACATAACCCTTTAAATTTTTTAAACTTTTATTTTCCCCTCTTTGCTCCCCTTAAAATGTTTCCTTAACTTTAAATTGTCCCCTTTTCCCTTTAAAATTTAAAATTTAAATTTCTCAGAATAAAAGTTTTTAAATTAAGGCAGACAGTAGTGTTAAAATTTTATGAAAATTTAAAAATTTATGATAATCTAACAAAGCAAAATAAATTTTTTAAAATAAACCAGGGTTATGGGTGGGATAAATCATGGAAGTAAAGGTGTAAAATTCTGGGCCCAAATGCGTAAGAAATGGGCCAGTGGCCACAATTTCTTTCATTTAACAAAGGGTATTTTTTATCACCATAGGGAAAGATTAGCATGGGCCCCACTGTAACCACAAAATGCAATTTTTTTACAGATGAATCCCTCCCAAAAAAGTGTGGCAGTGAGGGAAACCTCTACCTCAAGTCCCCTCAAAGCCGTCTTTATAACTCACGAAATCGTAGGGGACACGTTTTAAAAAAAACCCACTGTACAGGTAATAAAGTTGTGCAATATTCTTTTTAAAAATTACAAAAAAAAATTACTGACCTAATTACATGCCGACCCCAACAAAATTTGGGTATATAAATTTTTCCCAAATTCCCAAGACCCAATTTTTTAAATTATAACAGAGTGTCCCTCTCATTAAGTTTCCCAAGAATAACATGAAGCTATTTTAAGAGTGGCCTAAAAAAACAAAAACTAATCAAATTTAGCGTAGCAAACTGACTAAATGCAAGATATTATAATGATGATCATGCAATACGAAAAAAAAAACACCATTTTTTAATAACAATGACCTCTACCATGCGCCATTCTCTCATTTTTTTGAACTGAGGAAATTCATGCATATTTGGTTATATACTATAATATTAGTCAAGTGTGCACTGTAATTTGCTGAGAACATCTCTATCTCGTTTTTAGAATGTTTAATTAATGCAGATGGCTTGACAATGAGCCAGGAATAAGTCTGCATATATACGTGGCAGAGTGAGATATACTCCTGGCGTACACACACAGATATACAACTCTCGGTGTATATACACCGAGAGATATACAACTGCATATATACACCCAGGGACAAACACCACTTGTTGTATATATACGGAGAGAGAATACATATCTAAGTATAGACAACCTGACGACTCGCTACTACTTAAGCATGTATTGTGTTGACCTTAACCCTGGCTGACACAGTGCTCCCGTGACCCTCAGTTATTACACTGGGAAAACACTATTAAAGAGGAGGAAGTGACAGCTGAGCTGTTTTTAAAAGGACAAAAACAAATAATAATAATATATTTACTACAAGTACATATACAAGGTATACAGGCCTAGTTGACATCAATGATATACCACTATATAGAAAGTTATGCTGAGCATTTCGGGCACTAGAATATTAGGAAGCATACAAAGGCACAATACCGTAACTAGTCACACACAAACAGTTAGTGTGTGATTAGTTATTCGTCCAACGTTGAACCGAAACATTGTTGTAACTTTCTCATATTTGCAGGTTGTTTTGGTCCTGGGACCTTGATCACTTGGAAAGTTCCAAGACTCAAACGCTTTCCTGCTCTCGTAGCCCTGCCCTGGGCCGGGCTTGTCTGGTGCTTGCCTGCTCAACCAGGCTATTGATGCTGGCGGCCCGCTGACTCACGTGCTTTTATAAACTTTGTCTGTATCAATTATCAGGGTTTATACCACAGAAGAGTTGGGAGAAAGGAAAAAGAATGCAAGGAAAAAAAAGAAGGAAAATAAGTAAGGGAAGGGAGAGGGGGGCATAAGGATGATGTCATTTCCTTCCGATTTTAAAAGGGAGAGAAATACAGGAGAGTTTAACTAGTGGGAGGCTAAGGGAGATAGAAACGCAAGGAGGGTGAGTTTAAGAAAACTGAACGGCAGAGAAATAGAGGGAGGGAATCGAACTCGGGACCTTGAAATTGTGAACATTCAATGCTCTCACCAATTAGCTTGGCGGCACCCAGAGTGATGAAGGAGGGATAGGGAAGGGGGTCAGTGTAATAGGTGGTAATAGGTTCACATTATTAGGATGGAGGACATTTTTTTTTCAAAATCGGATACATCAGCAGGGTGCTGCTACCCTATTCTATATTACAGCTACACACTGGGAATAATGTTTCCCCGTCATATTCAATCACACAGGATGGTGTTTCCATGTCATAGTGTTTAAATGTGTCAGCCTGAGCTGAGAGACTTCAGTAGGTCAGCGAGGATACAATAAAGTTCAAGGTACTTCAGCTATGGCAGTTTGGGAAAGGGTTTTTCATTCTAGCAAACTAAAAATGCTTTTACAAAAAATAACCACCTTTCATAACGGCCTATCACATACACAGGGGAAAAAAAATTTTTTATGAAGATGTCCCACCAACACGCAGAGAAACCCAACTTTTTATATAGGGGAGCAAAAAAAAGGGACAGGGGGGGAAAAATCGTGCGGGCCGAACTGTTTTTATAAGCAAAATACAGCAATTTACTGAAAATGCAAATTCAGAGCTGCAATAGGCTCTGGGAACATTTAAAAAATTTTCATAATATAGTTTAAGAATGCCCTTTTTGCTTTTGCCTAGCGACAACCAGCCTAAACAACATGCGAAAAACCGGGGTTCACTTGTACTACCCCAACACCCACTTCTTTTAGGCCCCCCAAAACAAAATTGAAAACCCAAAAAAACAATGGGCATAGAGAAGGGGGGGGGGTTTCCAAAAATTACCCTTTAAAACCCGTGAAAAAAAACAAAGGGGAAAAAGGGAAAATATAATACAGGGAAAAAAAAAAAGGGTAACTAAGCACTAACAGTTTTAGGGTCGGGCCAACAACCAGGAGGCTTGGTCTGGCCCCGGAGGGGCGGGGGGGGGTGACCCCCCGAAAGCGACCCGGGTGACCTGCAGGAAACCTTTGGGTTTACAGAACTTTTTGATCGGACCTCTGTCAAAAGGGGGAGGGGAACGGGTTTCACCATTCACGGGCATATTTTTGCGTGATGAATAGGCAGCCCCTAAAAGCTTCCCGAGGCCCACGGGGGAAGGGGCACCACGGGAGGGGGGCGCCACGGGGAAAGGAGGCCCCAAACGGGGGGAAAAGGGGCTCCACAGGGAAGGGGGAAAACCCACAGAAGGGGCGCCACGGGGAAGGGAATCACTCTCCGTAAAACCAGAGTGAACACATTGAAAAAAAAGCCCTAAGAAATGGGGCCCGAGGCAGTGACAAAAAGGGCGGGTACATCAAAAAAGATTGGGGGGTTTTTTCCCTTTCTGGTTAACCCCGGGGGTTATACCCCTCGCCCCCCCTTGCTCCTCCCACCGTTTGGGGGGACGAACACAGAAGGGGGGGAAAAGGAAGGGGGGTATAAGAAAAGCTAGAAAAAAATTCCCCCCTTCTTCTTACTGGCGCTTCCTGCTTCCTCCCCCCTCCAATTTTACCCCCCTTGGGTTTAGGTAAAAAAGAAAAACCTGTGCAACTAATATTATTTTTAGTGTGCCCGGGAGAGAGAAACGTTGCCACAATAAAAATGTCGTTTTAAGTTTGCACTTGTGTCCCTTTTCCCCTAACATATTGTGGTAATTCTACCAACTTATTACAATTCGTAATTTTTCCTCCCCTTCACCATACATTGTTTTTCCCCTTCCCATTTTTAACCCCACGCTTAGTCACCCCCCCGCCACAACATCCATGTTTTTCCTTTTCCCCTTCCCAATTTTCCCCTATCTTGTCTCCATTTACTCCCCCCCCCTCTCTCCTCTCCCCTCTAAACAAATCCTGATGGGTTGCCATCTTTTCCCCCGAACCACGCAAAAACAATACTAATTTTCCACACCATAAACCAGTTTGGGGTGCAGGGCCATGAGGAGAAAATTAATTTTTGCAAGAATTATTCCTGAATATCAGAAAATTAAAAATACCGGGATAAACCTTTTTATTTACCTAACACACTAAATTTGGGCGACCTTAGCAATTTGGGCAAAAAAAAAGGGTTTTTTTTAAAATCATTTTTTGACAGGGTAAGAGCAAATTTTTTTAACTTGAGCTAAAAGCGAAAAATTTTTACTATGTACTTTTTCCTAAATAAATTGCATTTTTTTATTGGGGGGTCCACCTTTTGGTGAAAATTTTGTGGGACCCATAGCCTCGGATAAGGGTTTAAAAAGGCTTAAAGGGAAGAATATTTGGATTTCTTCCGGGAACCTTTTTAATATTCCATTTCCCCTACCCCCCCCCATCTTTTAAATATTTTTTTTTTTTAAACCCAGTAGGAATATTTTTTTTCATAAATTTTGGTAAAAAAGGGGTTTAAGGATTTTTTTTTGATATAAAAGGTGGAAATATCCCGGTACATGTTGTTACGTGTGAAATCACCAAATTAAAGGGGCGAAAAATCTCATCCACTCCTCAGAGC